AAAAAAAGTCTCCAATAGGCATGTTGACTACTTCCCTGATCTGGCTTCCATTACTCTGGTCACTCATAACATTATCCCTACCAGGAGAAGAAAATTAAATTAGCAGCAGGGTAAAAAAATAAAATTTATTTTTTTTCCAAAGTATTGTGAGAATATTTGTTTTTGCTGCAAGATCCCAGTCCCTGCTGGAGTCTCAAGGACTAATCATTACTATGAAATACCTGCTGAATCACATTGCCTGATTAATTAAAGTGTTAGTTTGGCTAGAAACTTCAATTCCACTTTTCCTCTAAATAAAAAAAAAGCCCATAGCAATGAAAGATAGAAAAATTAGATCATCTTGTTCATCCCCTGCCAGTGCAGGATTCTTTTTTACAATATATTTTTATGCTGCTTTATTCTGTGCAGATTTAAAGGAATCTTTAATGATAGGCCCACTGCTACTTTCTTGGGGAAATGTTACTGTTCATAGACTTTTTAATAGTGAGCTCTACCTTGATATTTGACTGAAGATGTTCATTTCTAGTGTCTTTGTACCATGGATAGTTAAATTAGACCCTTGCATCTGTCTAAATATTTTCCTCAAAGTGCCAGGGATAAAAAAACTAAAATTATTTTGCAGTTGGTCTAATAAAAGGTATCACCTCTACTCCAAGAGTTTTGTCTGCCTTTTTCGCAGTGTAGCATATACATAGTTCAAATACCCGGCAGCTGTAAAGCCTGTCACCTTAGGATTCCAATTTTGCAAAGAGTCTTTCATGACTTAGTTTCCATTGATTTGCATTGGTCCATACTGGCATAGGAATCTGTGTAGACCGGGTTCTTTGCAGGATCAGGACTGTAGTTGTGTACTCACTGGGACAAGGGCATTTATTTCCTTTCTAAATGTCTGGGAAACACCATAGGTGACATGTAGAGGGGACGTAGGTGGGCAAGTGCCCCCCTGGGACCTGCTGCCACCGAAGCCACTGATGGCTTCTGCAGGCAGTCCCTGCTCGCCACCCCACCTCACTGCTGACACCTGATGTCTGCAGGTGGTCCCCATTCACCGCTGCCAACACTGACATCTGCAGGCGGTCCCCACTCACCGCCATGGTGCCCTCCCAGTCTTGGAAGGCACCAGTCATTCATGGTAAACACTATCGCATTTTGACCTCTTGTTGTAGCTGCATCTGGCAACACACTCTGAAAGAGAACTGAGTTCCAAATCTAATCAATCTTAAGTGCTCTTAATGGAGAAATGCCTCTTCTCTGACTCAAATTCCCCTAGATGATCACTTGTTCTGAACTGTTTCACTTCTCCAGGGTCTTTGCTGAAGAAATCCATCCAGCCCTCTAAATCAGCTGTCTTCCTGTGAACTCCAATTTTTTGTACCTTAAACAGGCCTACAAGAAGAAACAAGGAGCCAGGATTCATGGCTCCTGGGGCTTTCTGGTTCTCCCGCTGATCAGCCTTTTGGCCAGCCGGTCTGTTTTACCCATTTCAAAATAAGAAGAGTACTTGCTTCACCAAGGTGTCATGATTTGGGCCCCAGCGAGTGCATCTACCTGTGCATATTAATGCAAAGCAGTAACTCTGACACTTATTGCACTGGAGCTTATTGTTTCTGGGCACTGTGTTTACGCATGCCCCAGGACCACAGCATGTTGAGCCAGGTCAGAACAAGCCTAGCTGGCAGGGAGTCTGGGAGGTCAGCCTCCCAGCCCAGGGCTGCTCCGCCCTGGCTTAGCATGCTGCAGAGGGGCTGGCAGGGGCACAAGGGTGCTCCAGTGTGGGTCTAGCCTGCAGGCAGCCCCCTACACTGAAGCATTGTTGTGCCCCAGCCAGCTGTGTCAGCATCTACTTGTGCAGTGCAGTGGAGTAAAAAACTTGAAGCAGGACAGTACTTGTATTTACAAGTATTACCCAGTGGTAGAGTTTATTGGTTCACTCCAGGCTAATAGCCCTGCACATGTAGATACCAAGATGTTTACTGCAGAGTAATTAGGCAATGCCTTAGTAAACATCTCATGTAGATGCACCCAGTCAGTCTCACAATTAAACCTGTGTACATGAATTTCCAAACCTGGATGGAGCACTGGTGACTTCAAAGGGACTCCACACAGGCACTGAGAACTGTCTGCAAGGAGCTAGCTGCAAAACCAGAGCCTTAATATAGCAAATCACTAAATGGTTTCTGTTCCTGAGAGAGATTTCAACTGAAATGAAAAATTAGTTGAAATTCTTCTTCAAAAGATTTTGGGATTTCAGCAACCCCCAAATATAATTTTTTAAAGCTTTTGATAACCAAAAGTTGTTTTTATTTTTCAGTTCAAAATGTTCAGGTTTCCAGTGTCTTGGCAACCCTCTCTCCTACTCATCTAAAAAGGACCCTAGGCCTGGAAAACACTTCCCAGACCATCAAGTCCAACCCTGTGTGTTCATAGACAACCAATTGTCCAGAAGGCCCCATAAGATCACCTGCTCTGACCCTTCCTACATGCCATAGTCACAAAGCTCCCTATGACTATAAACCCTTCAATATGCCACAGGTAAGTCAGAGGTGGGCACTGTTAATACCTACAGAACATTTTCCTTGGAAACTTCTATTTTGATGGAAAACCTATACATAGATTCCCAGTTGTTAGGGGCTGGAAGGGACCTTACAGATCATTGGGTCCAGCCCCCCTGCACTTGGGCATGCTGTTGCGGGGGCAAGAAATATTTTAAACAAATACTTAATTTGCTCTAATCAATGAGTATTCATATAGCTCTGTGTAAAATGCAAAGTATTATTGACTGCAGCAAACTTGCCTGATTTTTTTTTTTAATAAGTGGATATCCTTGATTTTAATAAGGCCCCTCAGAAACTATTAAGTATTATCAAAAGTGTAATGTCTGTGGAGCAAGGCCTAAGAGCTGGGAGACTGGATTATGGAAGTTAAAGATTTCTTCAGCCTCAGACAGAATGGTTCAATTTCAGTAAACTGCCTGACAAAACATGCTTACCTGGAAATACCAGCCAACGCCCAGCGTCTTTTGTCAGCTGTCTTATGCAGCTGAAAATTACAAGCAATGCATCACAGGGTGTGTATGCACGTGCATGTGTGTGTATACATAGCTATATGTAAGACACACTGCTTGTTATAACATCTTTGTCTTGAGTCCGTGTTCATTCCCTGCAGCTGCTGTGCTGGAAAGGAAAATGCTGCCTTTGCATTTACAGCCACAGCTTCCAACTTCTCCCTGCGGAGTGGAGAAGAGGAGTGGCCAGGGCTTTCTTTCTAGAAAATCAGCTGACACCCTTGCTGAAGTAACCATCCAAATGTACTAACTGCTTCCAAAAATGCGTTATCCTTGCAATGAAAAGAAACACTAACACAACTAGTAACTTTTATCTAGGAATGTGCCTGTCCTGGCTTAATTGCTTCTAGCTCTTTAAATGTAAAATTAACAAGTACAATAGGAAATATTTTAAAAAAGGAAAAAAAAAAGAGAATTGAAAAGCTAAGCGGCTGGATTGACTCTTGGTCCTTCCTGTGGACTAGAGCTTGGCAATGTCTTTGCAAATAATTAATTCTTCAGATAACAACAGGCTAGGAACTGTTCAGATTCTGTCCTGGTGCATTTAGTGTCTAGACTGCAACAGCTTTCCTGGTCCCCAAAAACTTGCACAGCTTTTTAAACATGCCACAGTGTAGGATACCTTGTTCACCATGCTTGTTCATTTTTTATTGAACGAAGGATGCCTGAGAAGCAAAGGTGAAACTTAGCTCATGTGCCACCATCCACATGGAGCTGGTCTGCGAGTGGAGAAATGAGGCCTGCTGAATGCTAAGACCTGCATGAATCTTGCGCTGGGACTTATTATTCTTTAATTATAATGGGGAAGGTCATTTTTATCTGATTGTGGTTTTAACAACGCTCCTTCTGCTGCCAGTTAGGGGCTGACCCTGGCACAACCTTCCCCTCTCATGTGCAAGAGCAATGCTGTCACTGTGATCATCCAGAAAAGATGCAAGAGACTGAGGATTTCTTAGGATGAGATGGAGGATTCAGGATGAAATAAAAGATTTCTTAGGGTGAGATGGAGAATCTGGGATGAGATGGAGGATTTCTTAGGATGAGATGGAGGATTTAGGATAAGATCAGATATTTCTTAGGGTGAGACGGAGGATTTAGTACGGGGTACCAACGTTTTTTGGCCGGAGTGCCGAAGGAACCACACTGTCTATCTTGGAAGGTGCCGGAGTGCCGACAGGCTCCCGGCCGCCCGCTGGGAGCAGCCGCCTAGAGCCCGGGCTGGCGGCGGCGTGCCGAGCACAATGGCCTTGCGGGGCACGCGTGCCGGGGGTTGCTGACCCCTGATTTAGTATAAAATCAGACATTTCTTAGGATGAAACAGAAGATTTAGGATGCGATCAAATATTTCTCAGGACGAGACGGAGGATTCCTTAGGCCGAGGTCTTCGCCTGCCCAGCTGGTTCGGTCAGACGAGCTTCCCAGCGCTGGACCTTCCTCCCCCCACGCCGTCTGTGTCTGCGGAGGGGCGGCGCGGCGCGGCGGCAGCGCGACCCCCGGCTGACCGAC